GCGGGGTTAGGCGGCGGGGTACCCGGGGCTGGGCGGCGGCGGGGGTCGTCCGGCGGTGGCGGGGTTGGATGAACCCCGCGGCGGGGGTCCGGGGTCCGCAGCCTAACACCGGCTTTGCCCCCGGGGTTCCCCGCTCGACAACGCTGGCAAATACAATGTAGTTGCGGATGCTCTGCGTAGGAGATCAGACTACTTTGGAGCTATAGTTCACTATCTAGACATAGGAAGTGACCTGCAGGAGAAAGTTAGACAGGCGTATGCGCAAGACCCTATCTATAGTGACCTCCTCAAGAGAGTTAAGGAGGCCCCAAAGACTGAGCCAGATTACCGCACTGCAGAGGGCTTACTATTTGAGCAGACCGCCTGTGCGTTCCCAACAGTGAGGAGATCCGCAGTTTGATCCTAGGGGAATGTCATGATACAGAGGGACACTTCAGTTGGCAGAAGACTTTGGCCAATCTTATGCACGCGTACACCTGGCCAGGAATGAAGAACGACTGCATAGAGTATGTCCGCAGTTGTGAAGGTTGTCAGAGGAACAAGACCACTACGCGTGCCCCTCTAGGTCTTCTCAGACCCTTGCCCATTCCAGATCAACCTGGAGATTCAGTCTCCATTGACTTTATGGATGCCGGTGTCAAGAGTAGACACGGCAAGAGCCAAGTTATGGTCGTAGTTGATAGATTTAGCAAGTATGCTATTTTTGTTCCTTTGCCTGCAGAAGCACGCACAGAGTTAGTGATGCAGAAGTTTTTCGATTTTTGGGTTAGTGAGCATGGAGTCCCGTTGTCCATAGTTAACGGTAGAGATAGTTGCTTCACCAGCCAGAACTGGCAGGAACTCATGAGAGTCTATGGGTCAAAGTTGTTAATGTCGTCTGGCCGCCATCCAGAGACTAACGGTCAGACAGAGCAGATTAACAAGATCCTGCAGCAAGTTCTGCGCATGTACATTAGACCCGATCAGGTCAACTGGGACGAGATGTTACCCAAGGTAGTCAGTGCGTACAATAACAGCGTGCACTTATCCACCTGTCGCACTCCCAATGAGCTGCACAAGTCCTTCAGACCACGCAGACCGTTTGAAGGGCCTAACCGGGATCAGACTCACAGGCTACCGCCCGGTACCAGGGAGTTCGCAATACAGCACGAGAAAGAGATAGCGACTGTTGTTGAGAACCTCAGGAAGGCCCAGCACCGCATGATAGAACAGGCCAATAAGCACCGTCGCCCATCGCAGTTGGGTCAAGTCTAAGGAATTTGCACCTGAGGAGAACATCTCGCAGAAGTTACTGCCCACGTATAGAGGACCGTGGCCGGTTCTAGAAGTTAAGGGCGGAGAGGATGGGCCGTCCTACACTATAGAGATCCCAGCACACCTCCACACCTACCCTGTATTTCATGCCTTACTGTCGTGCGTCACAAGTCCGCAGTTCCCCTCTAGATGGTCCATGATCCCCCCAGACATGGACGGAAGATACGACATTGACGGCATTGTGGGTGAAGATGTGTTCAGAACAGGAGGTAGAGGTCGTCCACAGAAGCAGTATAAGGTCCGGGTTGCATATCAGGAACCGGAGGATGACCACTGGTTCACGAGAGCAGAACTTCTAGAAACAGCTCCCGATATAGCCTACGAGAGAGATCAAAGAGGTAAAGGTCCTGCCCTGGACTGAGTTATTCTCGGAGGACCTCGAATTTATGCCGGCGGGAGTGAAACGGTATTCACCAGTTCGCAGTAGCTGATGCAGATCTCAGGGCTCGATCCCTAGTCCCTAGCTTACCTGTGTACAGTACCTGTATCGACCCCTAGAGTTGAACCCACGACCTGTGTATTTGTAACAGTAGTAGACTGTCGTAGGGTCCAGAGGTCGCAGGGGTTCGATCTGTAGACCTGTCATGTAGGAGTCTTAGTCAGGTCTAGAAGTCATAGCTGTAGTCTTCCCGAAGAGTCAAGGTAGTAGCCGCTGCAGTCCATAAAGGTCAAGGTCGCAGCTGCTACAGCGTCGAAAGGCCAAGTCTACGGCCTTCCGGAAGGTCCGAACAGTGGGCTTTCGAAGTTTCCCCACTTTAGTCTGAGGCAAGTGGGCAAGTGGTAAGGCAAGTGGTGGAGTCTACCCGTGCAGAGTCAGCAGTCCCAGTCCTAGGCAGTCCTGGTTCAGTCCAGCAAGTACCGCATGGGACTGTGTGCACTTCGGGTATGGGAAAGGGCCAGGCCAATGCACTACAGAAGTATAACTCAAGAGGCAGCGCCCAGCCATTCATTCATTCCTGCGTGAGCCATGCGGAAGCGCTGGCACAGCGATTTGTGCAAGGAGGTCTGCAGTGAGCCCGAAGACGAAGTGGGCAGAGAGACGGAGCTTAGCCATAGCGATAGGGTAGAGGCGGCCATAGCCGCCATAGCTGTAGTTAGTGTTCAGTGTCTGTGTGTGGGAGTGTTCAGAGAGACGCATGTGGGATATCCAGGGTGATCCACTATATGCGAACAGGGAGTTGTATGGGCGCTACCTCGCCATAGCCATTGAAAGTGAACTCGTATCTGGGTTGCCGTATCTCTGAGTTTTGAGTGGGCGCATGTGGCCAGTTTGCTGCGCTACTGTTTGCATGCATGTAAAGTGTGAATGAAAGCAAGTCTGATTGCACTGAGCAATTATGAAATTCAATTAGCTTCATTCTCTTTTGTTTATTTATTTTAATTAACCAGATCCACTCTGCACAGTACATAAACTTTTATTAAAAAAAAACAAAAAGGGTTAGGTCGCTGTGAAGTTTTTCCTTCAAGATGCACACGCTCACACGGACATACAAAAGGGGAAAAACAAAAAACAAAAAACAAAAAAACGGAAAAAGAAGGAGAGAAGACAATACCGGAGGGAAAAAAAAAAGAACGAGAAAAACAACTTCGACAGCCAAAAAAAGGAAAAACAAACACTCACCCAAGGCTGACGGTACCATTTGCTGACCAAGCCCGCGCTCAACACCGAAGCTCAAGAAAGTCGCGATCCCGATGAAAGCCATCAGCTGAAAGACGAGGAGAAAAGGAGGGGGAGAGGATTTACGCAAGGTCGCGATCCCGGCGACTTCTCTCCGGAAAACGCCGCTGATGATCGCCAATCGCAATCCCGACCGGCCTCCCATCATGTGCTGATGCCTCAGACTCCTTTCTCCTCCCATCTTCGCCCGGATACCGATCGGTCCCCTCTTGCGTTTGCCTCTCTCTACTTGTCCGTCTCTTCCTCCTCCTCCTCCTCCTCCTCTCCCGAACTCTTTTTCTCCTACTCCCGGTCTACCGTCCCTGTCAATCCCAGGTCGCATTCTTTTTTTTTTTTTTTTTTTTTT